AGTTGGTTCTGTTGTGATGTCACCCATTTCATTTCTTATTTGTGTTATTTGTATTCTCTCCCTCTTTTCCTTTGTTAAATTTGCCAGTGGTTTGTCAACTTTATTGATCTTTTCCAAAAACCAACTTGTGGTCTTGTTGATTTTGTCTATAGCCCTTCTATTTTCTGTTTCATTGATTTCTGCTCGAATCTTGATTATTTCCTTTCTTCCGGGGTGGAGTCTCTTCTTGATGGTGTCTCTGGCCTTCCAAGAAAGCAATTGGTTGGAGGGGAGATGGTTCTGGTAGGCCCATGAATGGCTGTTTTCTACCTGGAATTTCTCTTCTGCTTTAGGAGATTTACCAAGAAACTGATTATAACCACTCAGGGACCATTGATGCCCATGAGATGAGGACAGCTCTCAAGAAGGCAGGTGAGGATAGACCCTCCAGACAAAACCTTGCTAGGTGTGCATGTTTTAATAGCTCTTCTTATTACGATGACTGCTAATGATCATCAGTAGTAGCTATCCTGTCTAGATATCATTGCGACAACAAAGATTTTTTGAGTATTTTCTGTATATAGGGAAAGGAATGTTGCTGGATTCAGTATAGTATAACATTTTAGACTTTTTCTAGGAACCTTGTTGTTACTGGGAATATGACAGCAATCACAGAGGATGGGGCTGTGAAGGAGATAGGCAAAGGATCAGTGAGATAGGCAACCCCTCAGCTCTCTGTTTTTTCTTGCTGTGGCTAACATGACCCAAAGTGTTACACTAGAGAGTTGTATTTGTTATTGAGTCCTTGGGTGGCAAAAAGGGTTAAGCACTTGATTATGAACTAAAAGGTTGGCAGTTCAAACTACTCAGAGGTGCTTTGGAAGAAATGCCTGGTGATCTGCTTCTGAAAGATCACATCCTTGAAAACCCTGTGGAGCACAGTTCTACTTTGACACATGTGGGATTGCCACAAATTGGAATCAACTTGATGACAACTGGTTTTTCATATTTGTTATTTTATAATGTGAGTTAGTGTTGGAACTCCAAGTCTATCTTTAGGACTAGGGAAGAGACTAATCCTGATAAGGATTATCTAAGATCAACTGGATGGTCAGACACCTTCTGGTGTCACTTGGAGGAGGAGTCAGGCCTGGTTTGCAAATGTATACAGACCACAGCAGGCCCTCTGCACTGTCAGCCACTTGAGTTTTTCTATTTGATACAGTGCTGAGTAGCTCTCTTTCCACTCCACCTGTGACCCGTGCCCCTCTGTTCCTCAGGTTTCACCCTCAACAACCAGGTGCAGCAGACCATTGCCATGCGGTATGCAAACAGCAAACTCAGCATTGACTTTGATGGCTTCGTTGCTTGTATGATCCGCCTGGAGAGCCTCTTCAGTGAGCCCCTCTCTTTTACCTTATCCCATCACCCCCCTCCCACTCCCCACAGTGCAGTGTGTCCAAGGACAGGACCAGGAGGCAGAACCAACCATTGCCTTTGGGCATCCAGGGGTCAAGGACAACTAGGGCATCTTTGTGGTACCCTGGGGGCAAGGGGAAGCAGAAACAGAAGGCATTCAGGAAGTTCAAGCTGGCCAGTCCCAAGGTAAAAAGCTTGAAGAGAGACTTAAAAAGCTGCCATCCAGATTTTTGTGCACCTACTATGTGCAGATGATGGATCAAAATGAACAAGTCCTAGTTACTGTCCTTAAACAGCTTTTAGTGTCTACTCACATTTGTGACTACATGGGGAATATGTTGAGAACAAGTGTAACCTCCTGGGGAAGAGAGAGGTACCTATAGAAGGTAATAGATGTTCTCCTGCCATGTTGGGCCTTGGACTCAGGTTAAGGTATCCTATTAAAGGAAGGGGTTTGCTTTTCACTGAGGGATAAGAGGGGATAAGTTCCAAAGGGAAAAGGTCAGACATCTAAAAAGAAACTAAGGGAGTAGATCAACCACAGTCCATTCCTCCCCCAATCCCCATCTCATTCTCCATGAGAGAAAGACAAGTTTCTGATATGGAGCATGTGAGGGTAAAGATGCTAACAGTTAGAGGTTTATCTATTTTGGCAAGGAACATCTCTGCTGAAAAACTCACCCTGGGCACTGGATCTGGACTTAGCTTTTTGAGGCCCTTGGGGCTAGGTAGGAGCTGGTAGGTAAGTGGGGCGTGTGTGGGGTGTGAGTGTGGTGCAGAACAAGGATGAGTACCAGGCAGGAATGAGGTGGGCAGAGGCAGATTTCTGGCTGTTCCAAAGTTGAGGAAAATGCCCATCTAATTCCATTCCTTCTCTGGCATTTTAGAGATGTTCAAACTTCTAGACAAGGACAAGAATGGCATCATCCAGCTTTCTCTGGCTGAGGTAAATGTCCTGAGCTTTGATGAACAGTTTGTTGATGGTCCTATGAAATTCTTGGACTGTACAGATGCTGAGTGGTGTTTATTCATATTGACCTGTCTTAATTCCATGTGAATACCATGTTTATTCTATGGCAGGCATTGTAGAGAGGAACGTGATTGTTATATAGTCTTTCAAACATTTTCATTTCTTAGTTACTATTTTAAAGGTAGGCTACAGCTATATTTCAACTTATTTTAAGGGTTTGAGCCCTTGTTAACTTGATGCGATTGTGGGTGGTAGACACAATTAAGAGAGACTTCCAGCACCATCAGTCTTAGAAGGCATATATTAGGACATTGGAAACAAAACATGAACTTGCAACAAGGTGTACTGAAGGTGCAAAATAAGTGAGTGCTTTCACTGTGTACAAAGTCACATAGGCTGTATGCAGAAAACATCGTAGCACTTCTGCTGGGGAAGGCTGACACCCCATAAAGCAGAGCCCTTTGTTGGCCTGAGGGGATGGCAGAAGGTGCGGAAATATGCTGAAGGCCCAGACCAGTAGTAGGGAAGCACTGACCCTCAGTCTGCATCTGAGACAGTGGAACTAGACGACCAGTCATTCTTGGTCCTGCCAAGTTGCCTGGGGCAAATGTTCTTTTCTTCTCTAAAATAAGAATATCATTGGCCCCTTTCCTGTGATGTAGGGAACACCATCCTAGAAACCTATCTGTGGATTCCTACAGATAACCAGACAATAGTGTTGAACCTAAAATTGAATATCTATCTATATATCTCCTATGTAGGTAACAGTTATAAATATTTCCTACAGGAATGTTGTGTGTATGTATATATCTCCTATATATGTATGTAAGGAGCTCTGGTGGTGCAATGTCTAAGGCATTTGAGTGCTAACCAGAAGGCTGGCAGGTCAAACCTATCAACTGCTCTGTGAAAGGAAGATGGGGTGATTTACTTCTATAAAGATTTATTGCCTTGGAAACCCAATGGGGGTCACTATGAGTTGGAATAGACTTGATGGCAGTGGGTTTACACACACACACACACACACACACACATATATATATATGAAGAATTATAAATATTTCCTATAAGAACATCTGTATCATATATGTATGTAAGAATTATTATTTCTTATAGGAATATATAGATGTGTGTGTGTGTGTGTGTGTGTTTATGTAGATATATGTTTATCTCCTATATATGTATATAAGAATATAAATATTTTCCAGAGGAATGTGTGTGTGTGTGTGTGTATGTGTATAAACAGACACAAACACACATCTATTTCTGTACATTTCTTTGGGGGTCTAGAGCTTGTTCTAAGTTACATTTCTGTAGTGCTTTGTCTTAAGACCTAGTGGCTTAGTTAAAGCCTTTGCCATTTTCTAGTATTGAGCAAAGATTGGCTGGAGGTCGAGGATATTCAAAGATCCTCTCCAAGTGAAACAGGAGAACACCCACAGCGAAGACAGCCTACAGCTCCCTGAGAAGTGATGCACTCACCCCTGCTCTCTTTCCTTTTAGTGGCTGTGCTGTGTGTTAGTCTGATGCAGCATTTTGGACATAGGTGACACTCTCTGCCTGCCTGCCTCATTTCTCTCCTTCTTTATAATTTTGTGAATATGTATCATGAGTGGCATGAATTGGTTATTCATACCTTCCTTGTCTATTGCTGCTTTTGAAATTCCGACCTGTCCCAGTGGAGCAGAGCAGCTGGGAAAACCCTGGGCCTCTTTCCTGCAGCATTGAGCTACCTGAGCTGACCCCAGGGCCGTGGGGAAAGAAATCAATTAAAGTTGTTGGCTAGAATGGTTCTGCCTCTCTCTCGTGATGTGCAATCTGGGGATGGCCTTAGGCTTTTCATGCTTTAGGAAAGAAGATGTTCTTGGGAAATGACATGGCCCAGAGCTGCTGAAAGATTGGAAATGTGGGTTAATTTCTTGGAAACGAGGCAGACCACTGCTTCCAAGGGCCCGCCTCAGAAAAGCAGGTCTGTGCCAGCCTATTCAGGAGGGGTGTAGGGGTGGGCTGCTGGGGGAACAGGACTTTCTCCCTTACTTGCAGACAGGGAAGTTGCTATATTGTGGGTGTCAGCATCTGCCAATTGTAAGGTAAATTCTTGTTGAGGGGAATGCTTACCTGACAAATATGAGGGGAAATGCAATTCAGGTTAGTTTTGCTCACAGTTAAACAGAGATCTTTGTTGTTGGTAAGAAAATAGATGCCACCATTTAGTGTCCTAATGGGTAGATGGGGATCGAGCTGGCTCCTAGATGCAGACTTTAGAAATGAAATTTAAAGGAGGCTGAGCTGTTAGAAACACACACACACACACACACATGTGCCTTGTCACCTGTATTAGTCTCATTAAAGATTAGCTTTCTACTTCCAGAAGTGGAACTAGAGGCTCTATTATCTCTCCTTGTAAGAACACAACTCCTAAGTATGGCAACATGCAAATCAGCTTTAATGTTGCCTTAATTTCTCCTAAGACCAGTGGGAAAGGAAGTTCTTAACTGATGGAGAAGGTCAAAGCTATGGGGTCTCATCACTTAGGGAGGAGCTCTGTGGTCTCATCACTAAGGGTTGTGGGCCTTCATGTCTCTCTTCTCAGGGAAGGGCTCTGGGGTCTCTCCTCTCAGGAAGAGGCTCTGGGGTTGTACCGCATCAGGTGGGTTCAGCTCAACTGATGGTGGAAAAGGAGGTGTATTTATTTTGACAGTCTGCGGGCCTGGAAGAAAGGGTCCTTCCTTATCCCTTGTTGCGGGTGACAGTGCATGGAAAGAACCAGAGCTTGCAGCAGCAGGCTGCAGCAGGTGTGTGCCCAGTCACCTTCAGGCTGCCTGGAAAGACCTTGACCTGACTTCTGTGGGCCCAGTTGGTGTTGTTCTAATTATCACAGTGTGAACGGTACTACCTGGGCACAAGCCCCCCTCTTCCAGTCTTTAAAAATGTAGTCCTACAAACCATTTCTCACTAATATTTCACACATGGCATGGCTGTCTGCATCTAAAGTGCTGTATTATGAACAAATTGCAACAGGTAGTTTTATAGTTAAGGCCTACAGGCCTTCAACTACTTTAGGGGATAGTCTGATAAACAAAATATTATAATCTCATTACAAAATGGTATTTGCTTTGGGCGTCTTGAGGTCCCAGGTAAGGACTATCTTGGGACACTTGACCAAGACAGCTAACAAAGCAGGTTAAAGATCCCAAAACTGCATGGTTTTCTTCTCAAATACCTTGTAATTTGCTTTATGTGCCCTCCCCCTCCAGATTAAGGCAGTGGTAGGTGTTGCTACTGGGACATTGGTAGGTCAGTGGCAGATTTCTTGCCTTCCATATGGTGGACCCTGGTTTGATTCCTAGCCAATGGACCTCATGCACAGTCACCACCTATCTGTTGGTGGTGGTTTGTGTGTTGCTACCATGCTGAACAAGCTTTGGCAGAGCTTTCAGACTAAGACAAATTAGGAAGAAAGGCCTGACAATCTACTTCTGAAAATCAGCCAATGAAAACCATGGATCACAATGATCTCATCTATAATTGATTGTGGGGATCGTGCAGGATTGGGAAGTGTTTCCTTCTGATGTGCCTGGAGTTGCCACAAGTTGAGGGCCAACTTGTCAGTAGCTAACAACAACAACAACAGATGTTGCTGGTAGGTGTTGCTTCTTCATGGCCCCTGGCAGTGTGGCATTTCAGGAGGAATCAATCCATCCTTCAATCCAGGAGTCCACACGGTGGATTCCAGAGGAAGGCTCCCACAGCCTCTTGCACTTCATCTCTCGGAGCCCTAACCACTCTTTTTTGTATTAACACCTGTAATTGCCTGTCTTCCTTATACCAGCTGGATCATTCATAAATACAAAGATGGTGTTTTTTGTTCCCCCGGAGCCCAGAACACTGCCTGGTGCAAAGTAGGCATTCAGTAAATGAAAAGGATGTCCTTCCTTTGTAAATGAAAAGGCTTATGTAGAGTATGTGCCCCACGTTGTGTTTCTAGTGGAGTCTGGGGTGCTCCAATTAGTCCCAGATGACATAGCAGTTTAGAGCTGTAGAAGCCCTGCAGGGAATGCTACTGATGTGTGGAGTCATTAAAGCCAGTGTCTGGGGGGTTGTGAAGAGCTTGGGAGCTCTGAGGGGAGAGATGGCTCCTGTGGAGCTACTCCCACCCTCCACATGCAGTTGCCTCTTATGGGCTGACTATGATATCAACTAGTCTTTGATTTGTGCAGAGAATCCTGTGAAAACTCTTGGATTCCCCCATCTTCTGTCAGGAGAATAAAAAATAGCATAGTAGGGCCTTAAGCTGGAGAGGCAACTGAGAGGGGTGGGGTGGGGGTGGACATGTCGGGTCACTATGCACAACAGTCCTCCTAGCCTATGAGCCAATTTACTTCACCTCTTAAAGGCATGGTTTGTTTCCTCATTAGTAAACATGAAGAAATGCATGTCACCACTCAGTCCTCAGACCTAGCTGAGACCTGAAACATGGAAGCTGACGTTTGAATGAGAGGCATTTGAGGTATAATGCATAGGCTGGGTAATTGCACACCAGCAAGGCCCTCTCTAGCGAGTCCCCTTTCCCTGCCAGTGTGTAGAGTCAGAATTAGCTTTCTCCTCACATCCACCTGCCCAGGCAGGACTTCAGGTAATTATGCACAATCACAGAAGCAGCTTTGAGCTGAGCTGGGAAAATCAGGCAGACAAACGCTTCCACAGGCACCAGGAGGCTCTTCCTGGCCAAGGTCTTGACAACACCCACCCAGTGTCTCAGCAGTCAGGCTCTGCAGGGGTCATTCATTGCCCTCATCACAACTGACAGAGGCTCACTCGCCTCACATGGGTGATCTCAGTCTGGCTCTGGGCTTCTCTCTGATGCCAACTGCTTTTCTGAGCTTGGGGCAGTAGGGCCATAGAACAAAGTCTTCTCTCCTTCAGTCTGTGGTTGCACTCTCTGCCTGGCTTGGCCAACTCAATTTTATTTTCTTCTCATTTCAAACTTCAGCCTGCCTAGTTCTCAGATGTCCCGCATCTTCTCAGCTTTAGATGTTCCAGTGTCCTCTAGCCCCAATTCCTGTAAATACTTCTGGTTCTAACTCCAGGGCATGGTCATTTCACCACATCCCAGCCCACTGCTTCCCCCAAGAGCGTCAGTCCCTGACCAATGTCTCTCTTCCATACATTAACCCCTTCCTTTTATCTGTGAATGTGGTTGACTTTTAGAGTTCACATAATTAACCATAGAGAATTAAGACACTCACTGACCTCTCTCTGCAACTCAGAAAAGATAGCATCAGAAAGGACTGAATGAAGGGAGAGTTATATCTGCTACTTTTTGTCTGTTCTTTAGTTTCAAGTTGTAGGTGGTATGATTATGGAGGGCTCTGTGTGGTAAAACAAAGATGGAATGAAATATCCTGAATATCATCTACCTTTGATCAGGTCTGATGTGCAGCCCACCATGTTTGAACTCTAACGCACTGGCTTTGGTCTTTGGGAAGGATAACATTAGTCATTTACACAATCTACTTCCATAGTGATACTGCCTCGGAAACCCAAGGAGGGGTCGCTATGAGTCGGGTCTGAATTGACGGCATATAACAAAACAACAACAAAGTGGCAACTGTTTGGAGAAGGAGGGCCACCAGTGGGGAAAGGGTGATGCTTTGTAGTTTGCAACTTATGAAGACAGATGTTGCCTCCTCAAAATATTGGGAGGCCTGTGCTTGGTTCATCAGTTGGCTGAGGGTAGGACTTTTGACGGCATAGAAATAAGGCAGAAGACATTGTCTCAGCCACTGACTTGCTTGGGGGCTAGTGAAGGCTGGTTTCTGTGATGCTCCAGGGAAGGAGCATCCTGGAGAGATCTGGTTTTTTATTGCTGTAAAATATATATAACAACATTTGCCAGTGCAATATAATTTAATGATACCAATTACATTAATCATGTGCATCACCCATATTTCTCATCACCAAATTTCTCATCATCATAACCAAAAACTGACTGGTCTCCAAACAATGGCTCCCTCTTTCCTTCTCCCTCCTACCCCTGGTAACCACAAATAAACTTTGGTCTCTATACATTTGCCTATTCGTATTATTTCATATAAGTGAGATCATACAATATTTATCTTTTTGTGATTGAGTTATTTCATTGAGCATAAAGTTTTCAAGTTTCAATCACGTTGTAGCATGGATCAGGATTTCATTTCTCTTTATGACTGAGTCTGGGGAGATCCTTTAATTAACTGAAAACTTTTCTTTTTGAAAAAAAATTTATATGAACAATTTTTAATATAAATGAAAGTAGAAAGTACAGTGTGATGAAGGTTCATATGTTCTCAATTAGATTTAACAATTTTTAATATTTCCCCATATCTGTTTTATCATCTCAAATATTTATTTTATTTTTGGTGAAAATATACAGAGCAAAACATACACCCATTCAATAATTCTTACACATACAGTTCAGTGACATTGGTCATCTTCATTTTGTGTTAACAATATCACTGCTTCTACACAAATTGTTTCACCCTCGT